ATGACCAAATCGTTTTAAGGCAGCACAACAGAATTTTCACAGGAACTAAATCTATTTTTTTTCACACCGATCATGCATGTTTTACTCAAGCATTGAGTCATTAGCATGTTTATAATGGTTCTAATTTAGCACAACATTTTCTGAATTTTATCCTTGAGTCATTTACAAATTGTTCATATTGAGTAAACAAAGGAAACAGATTGCATTTTATACTTAGTAATTTATCTGAAAGAAGAGGGGAGGGTTAATTGTTTTAAAGTTTTGGTCTGTTTGGGGAAGTGAGCCTGCTTTTTCATTGCTAGGCATAAATGCCATTTCTCATCTTTTTGGTAATGGGGGAGGGGGGCTATGGAGGAGTAAAATGAAAAATTAGGACCAGGACAAGATTGGCCACTCCCAGAGGGGAGTGTGGAGCAAAAGGGGAGCTGGCACGAGATTATCCAAAACAGTTGGTGCATTCCTTAATGATCAAGTGCTTGAGAAGTCCAGCTCTTCCTGGCAGAGCATCTGTGTTGATGTTTATATCATTGCCGTGCTGTATGGGAAAGGCATGCTTTCTCTTGCTGCTTGGCTAAAAATAGTATGGGATATAGCATTGTATGAGATATTTTAAGATAGCAAAAACATTTAAGAGGTGAAAGGTTTGACTTTTGGATCAAAAAAGATCAGTGATATAACTCGTGGTGTTACTTGCAGACTGAATTTTATCTAGAGTTTGTTAGTGATTCGTACTCTTGGCTGGGGAAGTTATTCTAGGTTTATTTGGTGTAGTCTGAAAAACCCACTCCGCTGTCTTTTCTGTCAGCTTCCCCAGCGTGAAGAGCAGGCCTGAAAACAGCCTCTATTTATACCCCCTTGTTCTTATTTGGAAAATCAGTTGTTTCATTGGAGAGAGAGGGAGAGAGGGGGAGAGAGGAAGAGCATGAGCAGTCATCAGGGAGTGTGCTTTGTACGTTATAGTGACTTCAAAATAAAACTGGCACATTTTAGTGTCTAATTATTTTTAGTGAGCTTGGAGGGTTTTAATTAAAATTTAAGAGTGCTCTTCAAGCTCTCCAAGTTCCAATTTTATCCCACTGTATTGTGGAGCACTTGCCACTGTGGAAAAATGTACAGTAACTGGCATGTGCAACTCTGTGTTTCCTAATGAAAAATGTGGGATGGATAATCCTTAAGGATATAAATACATTTTGCTGGGTTTAATTGTAAACCAAGGTCATGGATACATTTGATAAGTTATCATTTTTCTTGGATAAATAGAAAAATTTATTGCATTCAAAATTTATGATTCTTATGGTAAAAATAAAAAGAATGGCTTTACTATTTTCTCAAAATGTTAATAAAGCAATAGAAAATCTGTACATGGAGCCAGCAGTGATTGTTTTCCTCAATAAAATATTTTGAAGATATCTTTTATGTCATGTTTCTAATGTTTTAGCATTTCTAAGCATTTCTAATCACTTTGAGGTAAAAGGAATAATGTGTTTGCTTATAGGTAGATTGTTATAAAATGCAATAAACATTTGTCACATTGTCTCTTCCTCTTCCCCATGTTGTAACTTTAATGACAATTTATTTATTTATTTTTTGATCTATCTGAAATTACTTTGCTTTGTACAGTATAAGAGTTAATACTGCTGCAAATTTGTCTAAGTAGAAGTAATTTAAAATTGTTTCTAAAATATCATCATACAATTAGGAAATCAATATCTCACATACTCTTTCTTTTCATTTTTCTTACATCATAAAATTAATTACTAAGTTAATTAGCAAAAGCATTACTCAGCTGTGATAAAGCATTCCTGACTTACCTGGCCTGAAACCTAAGTACTTAGGAAGCGGAAACTGCTTTGTAATTTATTATGCAGATATTTAAAAAACAAAATGGTTCTGAATTGTATCTTCCTTTTTTCTCAAATTTCTTGAAAGAGATAAATTTGAAAAAGAAAAGAAAAAAGCAGAAACAATGCAACTTATAATTTATAACATATCAAAACATTTACATCCTTGCTTAAAATATAGGTGAGAACTGATGTCTCGCTCTTGATTTTTTGATAGTACCCTTTTCATCAATATTATTTGTAAAAATTAGAGAAGATAAAGTCCTGCATTTCATTGAATAAATATTGGTTAATAGAAACAGATTCTTTCAAAGAGGAATTAATTTTGGCATTTTCTGTTTCAATACGACTTTAGCATAGTGCTACTTTTAATTTGTAACCTTACCTGGATATTGTTTTCAGATAGAAATTTGAAAATATAGATTTTATTTGTAACTTGGTATCTTTTACATATTTCCTCATTTCAAATCAGGAACTCTTTTGGTAGTGGCAGTAGTGTCCTCTGCTTGTACAGTGCTTAGTAACAATCCACTTCTTTCAGCCTTTTTTCTGTCATCCTACTTGCTTTACATTATTACATGGAGAGTGCTTAGCACCAATGATGGTGTGCCCCTAAAGGTTTGGCAGTCAGATAATGGGGTAGAAAGCAGCCATCTGTCAAGAGACCTTCTTACAGGTTTGAGTCTTCCTGGAGTTTCCTAGTCTTGAGAATAAACATTGATAAAGTTGTATGTAGTAACTTTTATTGTCCTATAGATAAAGGCAATCAGTGATTGCTATTAAATATTTTCATGGCTGAAAATGTAGATATGCAAATCCTGCTTTATTTTTTTCCCTCAGTTTCTTCTACTGAAATGGGAACTCATATAGCTAGATTAACTGAGCATTGCAGTAAGGATTACTTTTCTAATAGGAATGTGAAACGCTTTGACGTTATTAACCATTTTATTAATGAGTAGCTTTTATGTAAAGCTGTGTCCACACGATTTGATTTATATTTGAAGTATGTGTTCCTGTTTGTTCATATAGCTCTCTTTTTCTCCCATGAAGTTTTAGCATTCTTTTTTTGGAGCTCTAAAAGATTTCAAGTCTATTTATAGAAATGAGAGACATATTTTAGCCTGTTTACATCCTAGTGTGCATTTAATCCTAGTATATGGACCTGCTCTAAATTTGCTGTTATTACAAATAAGTTGTGCTTTTATCTTTGACTACTATAATGTATGCTCTCAACTCAAATTTTAGCTAAACGAGTTATGCTTTTGTAACTGTATCAGTAATTACCAGCTTAGTGCACTGATATGTTGTATGAAAGGGTAAAAAAAATTTTGGGTAGAGTATGAAAATGAAAACTTTTTGCTGATTATTCTTATCCGTAATCTAATGTTATATCAGTCTCTCTCAGAAATTCAAACCTGATTTGAGAAAAAGTAATATGTGACAGGCATGGATTTGAATAATTGCTTTGTAGCTCTTAGTGTTATCTTTTTTATGACTTTAGCATAAAAACAAACTAGGTATAGAACAAAACATAAATCTCATTTCTGAATTTGAATAAAAAATAGTAAGAGACTATTTCAGCAATTAAATACAACCTGGACATATGCATATGTATGTAGCCCCCATTGGAACATTACTCCGAATGCAATTTTGAAGCACAGTAGTAGATCCTTTGTTGAATACTAAGAAAATAATAGGAAAGAATGGAGTGAAAGAAGAAGGAAGATAGGAAGGAAGGAAAAGGGGAGGGGAGAAGTAAGGGAATGGGCAAGGAGCTTTCATTTAATAAAGTCAAGCTGTGTTCTATTTAGAAAGAACTTTAGCTCTGTGATAGCCAGTTCAGATGGTTGTTCTTCATCAGTCGTTTTCACGACATGCTGATCTGGATTCTGTCCCTTCTTTGATTGATTGATCATGTCACAGACAAATGTTAATTGTTTTCACCAATACTTTCTAACCATGCAGTGGTTTTCTCATCTCTTAGCCAGGGCTCACTGTCTTTTTCTGAAGCTTATCTAGCTTCTAAAACCCCCTAGATCCATCTTGACCTTACTGTCATTCTGAAAAATTCAAGGAGGATTTAGAAGCTGGAGAAAAAAAATGAAAGGGAAAATGCTAAAGAAGTAGGTGCTGATATGAGAGAGAAAAGGCATTTAGAATTGGAGTAACTGTTTTAAATATAATTTTAAAAGAAAGTTATCAGAATTTTGACACTTGGAATGTTACAGTTTTATGGGAGTATGCTTTGCATTAAGGATTTAGTATTTAAATCTGCATTCCCTTTTGGAAACATGACCTATTTGTTAAGATTTGAGGCTTAAACGGTACAAATAAATAGTTGTAAGCAGTAGCCCCAGTTGTTAGTCCATCTACATAAAGACCAGAAATAACTGATTGAGAAAAATTTGGTAATTATCAGGACATTCTAAAATTTGGATTTCTGTAACTTTTATGAATCTTTATAAAAACAATTGTTATTACTCCCTATATTCTAGTATGTTATTGAGAAGTACAGCAGGGCAAATAATAAATGACATTTATATAGGTATTTATTTAATAAAAATATGTATCACTTTTTGTATAAGAGAAAAATTTTAGTAGTTTTCATCACTAGGGATCAGAGAACATTTTAGTTTTATTTTCTTCTTGTTTGGCTCTAATTGAATATTTTACAAAAGTTAGATTTCTTTTTTAAGAACTAAGTGGTTACAGATTTACTGGCTTCTTCTCTTCTGAATATCTCTTATTGTTTCTTGCACAGCACATACATTTTGCTTGGACCTAAAAAAAAATTGCCTGGATTAAAAGGAGTATCTAAAGTTAAATTCATAGGAAAGAGCCCTCTTTTCCATACTGTCAGTCTAAGAAATAACAAATGCTGATTGAATACTAATAGACTTATAATATTAAAATAAGATTATTGAGCATTCTCTTTTTTCTCTTAGATGATAGTGAAAATAATTATCTGGTGAAAATAAATTTTGTTGTGGTATTTTATAATACATATTATAGAATAATGTAATTTTCTATATGCTGGGGTTAAAGCAACAGCAAGAAAAGAGCTTTGTGCATTCTTAAATGAGAGAATTTCTCCATAAACTGACTTTCTAAATTTGTAATAAATATATATTTTTAATACTTACTTTTGTATTTTAATAGATTCCTCCTGCATGGAAAAACTACTTTCAAAAGATTGGAAGGAAAAAATGGAAAGACTAAATACCAGTGAACTGCTTGGAGAAATTAAAGGTACACCATAAAATATATCAAACATGTCAATGCAGTGATTTTATTTTGCATAACAATGTATTTGTTGATCTTCTGTACCATAACACTAAAGTTTTATATCTAACATTTGATTGTACATGAGAGGGTGAATGTGTTTCACGTTTCTGAACTTTTATTCTTTGCAATGTTTACGAAGTGAAAATTTTCTTTACTTTTTGTATTAGTCTATAAACATATAACTTATGTGATATGCTGCCTCATTAATTTACACCACAAAAAATGTATAAAAACCTTATGTGAAAAGATAAGTAAATTACGCTAAAGATAATCTTAGGTTTTCCTCTTAAAATTGTAATAATAGCTTAATTTATGAATCCAAATTATTTTGAATTTCCTCTAATCAAAATGGGTTTCCTGTTGCACCTTTAAAAATGTTTCTAGGATGTGCTATACATAATGGTTTATGGGGGGATGCCGAAGCCTGTTTACCTTGATTCACATTGTGGCTCTGTCAGTGGATGAGTAACTTTGGACAAGCCACCGAACTTTTCTGTTTTTTTTTTTTTGTCTTATTTTTGTTTTTGTTTTGAGAAGGAGTCTTGCTCTGTCGCCAGGCTGGAGTGCAGTTGCATGATCTCAGCTCACTGCAACCTCTGCCTACGGAGTTCAAGCAATTCTCCTGCCTCAGCTTCTCAAGTATTTGGGACTACAGGTGCTCCACCATGCTCAGTTAATTTTTGTATTTTTAGTAGAGACAGGGTTTCAGCATGCTGGCCAGGATGGTCTCAATCTCTTGACTTCATGATCTGCCTGCCTCGGCCTCCCAAAGTGTTGGGATTACAGGCGTGACCCACCATACTTGACCTTTCCTGTTTTATAATCCTCATCCATAAAATGAGGTTAATAAAAGTATTTCTTTCATAGGCTCACTAAGAGAGTTAATACATGTAGAACTCTTAGAACAGTACCTGGCACTTAAGAAAGTACTCAAGAGTTTAAGTTGTGTGGTTGTTAATATACACACAGGATCCTATGTTGATTAAACCTGAAATTTCATGAGGTTTAGCATTTCGTGGTCTTTGACTCAGATGACAATAAACATCTTTCCTTTTGAATATATGTGATTGATGTTATTATTTTTACACTTGTTAAGAAGTGGACTATCCCAATCCATTCAGATAGTAAGTTAAAGTTAACTTATCTAGAGTTACAGTTTTTGCTTGGTAACCAAACTCTTGCTGATTCATTTATGGAGAAGAAGTGCTGTATTAATTTTTTTGCATTATGAATGAAATTCATGATCACTCATTAACTCTATCTGTCATCCCTATGGACAGTCATCACTGTGATTTGCACTAACAATTTGGGTACTTAATTACATTAGTTTTCTAAATTTATCAAACAACTTTAGGTGAATCTTCCTATTGGTTGTGGGTAATATCTGAGTTAAGATGAAAATTTGATAATAATTATCTAATGTAAATGTTATTTAGAATTTACTACAGAAAATTTCCTAGTTTTTAGGCATGTCATGTTCAACTCAAATAAAGAGAAAAGGAAGTCATCTTATCTCCCAGCAAATAATTAATAATTAATTCTATTAACTAATTATGTATCAAAATCAGTGGAAATTGGATATTATTTTGAGTTCCCCTGCTTCTGTTTTGTACTTGTAAAGACCATTTGCTGTTTGGGAAAAAAAAATTCAACTTATTGATGGGTAGAAAGAAAGTCATTAGTGATATATTCTCTATCCAGCTGCAATAACATGGTGTTTGCTACTTTGCACGTCATTCTGTGTTTTCTTCCCTTTCCAAAGTCATTCCTTTTTATAACAGTGAGAATAGAAATGGTTTGTACAAAGGCAAGCTTTTTCCAACACGAATGATGAGGATTCTGTTTTCTCTTAGTAGTGTGAAAACTAACATTTTATTATGTTAGTTATTCAATATGAAATTTTTGTGCTTCATGGTATATTTCCTCCCCCACTTTCTATCTTTCTTTATATTTAATTTTAATTTTGAATTCAAAATTTAAAAAATGTACTAGTCTCAGATACTTAAAATGTATAAATCACAAAAGTGAACCACATGAAAAATTAGGCTTTTCAAATTCTTTAACCTGTTTTTCTGGATTCTTTGTGATATGTGAATATTCGTTTGTATGTTAGAATTTCTTACGGGCATAAAAGATAAGATTCTTATTAAATTTATCTTTATTCTACATTATAATTTCTTCATATATCCTAATATATTCTACAGAAAATATACCAATAATATATTATTTTAAAAATGGAAAAATTAGTTAAATAATATTTAAATAGTTTAAATAAACCACTGCCAAAACTCAACATACATTTTTATTCTAGTGGAAACCAGGCCAGTTATTATCCACCTAAATTACTTATCATTATCCTGAAATTTTAAAGTGATCAAAATTATATCTTTGAGGAATACATACTATCATAGGTTATCGGCATTTAATATTATATCTCAAGCATTGTGTATTTTTGATAGCTCTTACATTTTTCTGATTACAAAATTCATATGTGTTTATTTGTAAGAAACATGGAAAAACACAGATAGTGAAATTGCCATTTAATTTTACCTGTATCTTATTGTATAGTTTCTCCACTTTAACTTATGCATACTTATGTTAACTTTTCCCCATAAAATTAGAATCATCCCATTATAAATTTTTTGTAATCTATTTTCCCTATTTAATGATATATTATGAATTTCCCTGAGATTGCATTATCTTCTAAATATTACTTTTGTTGGCAGAAAGTATTGTATAAAGTGAGGTTTTCATAATGTAACTGAGACTTTTATGCAACATTTGTTTTTATTGTTTGTTGGTATAAAAATGGCTATCTTGAAAACAGATAAGATTTTTATTAAGACTTTTCAACTTATTAGTCGTTCTTTAGGTTATATTCTTAAGAGTGAGATTCCTGGGCCAAAGAGTTTGTTCTTTATAAAAATACTTTTGATTCATATTGCCAGTTACCCTTCAAAAAGAGCATAGTATTTTGTGCTTTCAGCAGTAGTATCTGCAAGTTTTTATTCTCTTTCCTTGAATAACAAGTATTGTTAATTAAAAAAATTCTTGCCATTTTTATAGGGGAAAACAACAACATATCATTGTTCTTTTAATGAGTTTTTTGACTATTAGTGAGAATGAGGTGTTTCATATACATTTATTTGCAATTAAATATCTCTTCCTTTGTGAACTGCATATTAATATTGGTTGCCCATTTTTCCTTTAAAAGACTTGTCCAGTTCTCAATGTTATCTAAGAGGTCTTAATATATGTTTTAATAGTGTTAATCTTTATTTGTTATATATGTTGCATTTTGTCATTTGTTTTATTTTCTGGTTTTGTTGTCAATCTTTCCATTCTTTTTTTAAGTGCTTTTTTTCTATTGGGGATTTGTTTAGAAAGGCTTCCTCATCCTGAAATTGTACAATATTCTGCTATATTTTCATTCTTATGTGGCTATATTTTTAAACATTTAACTATATAATACATCTTAAATATGTTTTGATGAATAATGTCAACTAGAAATATAACTTAATTTTATTCTCAAGCAGTTAACCAAATATCTATACTGTTTATTAAATAACCCATCTTACCTCCTGTGGCTTGAAATAACATCTTTTATTATACTCTGATTACATATTTGGAACCGTTTCTCAGATTTTGGTTCTATTCCATTGATTTTTCTATCTAAACTTTTATTAGTACTATGCTATATTAATCACTGTAACTTTAGTATCCTTCAAAAGTAAGTATTGCAAGATGACACTCAATTTTTCTTTAAGGTGCTTTCATATGTCTTTAAAGTTTATCTTTGAATTTATTTTATCAGGTTGTTAATTAAAACTTCAAAGTGATTTTTAAAAAAATTATTTTACATTTATATAAAATGGTAGGATGAACTGACATCTTTATAGTATTGAATTGCTCCATTCAAAGTCATTTATTCAGTTATTTTAAGTCTCTCAATAATATTTTGTCTTTAAAATACAGATTCTGCACATTTCCAATTTCATGTTTTCTTGATTATATTTAATATTTTTGCTTACTCTTGTGAATGAGATATTTTTCATTCTATTTTCCTTTTGTGATATTTAGGGATGCTATGTAATTTGGCTGGTTAATTTTGTAATTTCCCTCTATTGAATTTTCAGGTGTAGTCACATTTCAGTTGATAATGCGCTCTCTTCCCTTTTGGTAGTTATATGTCTCTTTGCAACCCACCTGCATCCACCCTTAATATATTAATTGCTTTGAATGCCAAGAATAATATTAAGTAATAGAGAGGTAATAGCATTTTTGATGGACTTTTACTTTATGGAGTTGTTTTTAATATTTCATATTAATATTCTATTGGCTATTGATTTAAAATACCCTTTTTCATTTAAAGATATCATTCTAGTCTATTAGGAATTTGGTCTATTATGATAACTTGCATTTTATTTCATGGAATATCTTATTACATTTTGCTTTTCAAATTTGTCATTGAAATAAACTCTAATTAGTCATGGTATAGTCTTGTTTAAATGTACTGCAGCATTTTATTTGCACATATTTTAGTTTTATAGTTATTTTTACAACTGTAATTATAAATTTTTTAGAGTTTTTCATATTTGTATTACTTTTGTTAATTTTTTAGTACCAGTGTTCATAGTCAAATTGGAAAACTGTTCCTCTTCTGCTAGGTTATGTAAAATATTGAATAAATAACATATGAACTATTTATTCCTCAAAATTCTGAAAAAAAAATTCTCAGGAAACATCTAGGCCCAGAGTTTTATTTGGAAATTTTCTTTTACATTTTCTACAGCTCTTTTAAGTCAGTTTTGGCATAAAATATTTTTCCTAAATATTTTTTAAGAGAAAAATCTCTTAGAAAATTGTGTATCTCGAGATTTTCAAATCTCATTGACTTCGCATACATATCTTATTTTTAGTTCTTCCATTTATTTGTCATTTTAGATCCCATTTCTAATTTTACA